TGGGCCACATAGGCATACTCAGTCACCAGTTCATCATAAAGTAAATTGCACTTTCTTACATCTTGACTCCAGGGTGTGTTGATTTAACCAATTATTAGAGAGGGTCTACTATCACTACTGAAGGAACACTTCATAGTAGCTGTTGTTGTTTAATTTTAAAATTACTTAGTACCATGATAAACAGTGTTTTTGCTTTACATCTGTCCAAATAACTTTTGCCTGGTCATTTAGTTTTAACCTTGAATAAGAACGTACTTTTGCTTTGAGTTGGATTTCCCCGTTATTTCAAGAGAAGTATTAGGCTGCTTATATTCGAGGAAAAAAATGTATTGTCATAAAATATGTAAGTGAATTCACTGGCTTTTGGTTGTATTTGCAGGTTTCAGTGGATAAGGTGCTAAAGACGCTGAAGGAAAATGCAAATAAAGCAACTAGTCTACTGCTTACTGCTATACCTCAGATTGGTTCCATGGACTGGACAGAAACCCAGCACAACTTAAAAGTATGGTGGTGGTGGTTGTATGTAGATATGTAGTGTCCTTGTATGTGCATAACGAATGTAAAAGGGGACATGCTTCTAAACATCCTTACATATATGCATACATATATATATAGAGAGAGAGTTGATAGACTATATGAAACACGAGATAGCCAGGGATGGCATCTGAGTCTGAATTCTGACAACGGGCCCAGGGCCTCAGCAGAACCTACCACCAAGAAGCTGTCATCACTGCTGCCTGGTCCCAAAAGCAGCCTTCACTTCTTCAAGGAAGCAGCAAGGATTGCCGCCTCCTGAGCACTACCTATGAGGTCCTTGTCCTCATGTTACCCGCAGCTCCTCCTCCCCACCTGCCCCCCAGGGGGGAGTGGGTGGGCGTTAGCTATCACTTGGCTGCAAGCCCACCAGCCTGGTTGGTGGCTCCTTCTCCACATCCTCCATTCAGGGCAGACCTGAATTCTTCTCCCCTACGCACTGGCCACTTGCTTATTTGCTTGCAGTCCCTAGAAAGGCAGGCAGGAGCACAGCAGCCCCTCTCAAAACCTTGTCCCTCACAGCGGCCACCGCCAACCACCTAGTCACCAGTTATGGCATCCGCTATGTGACATAGCAATAAAGATATTAAACACAAATGCTGAGCTTGGAAACTTAAGCAGTTAAGTGTTTTTAACTGAAGTGAATGTGAATTCTTCTGCAAGATTCCCCAGCACACTTGTTTTCAAACTGTTTTAAGTTTCAAGCCTCACTGTAATCTCCAGATGCAGCTTATTCTCAAGTATATATCTAATTCTGAATATGGGCCCAAAATAGAGATTAAAAAATCTGCACAATGAGGCCATAAATAGAGAAGGTTGATTTTCCTACTGACCTGTGACAGCCCAGGTTTGCAAAATCACATTTGGGGGATTGGGAGGCTTTTCACCTGGAAAGGCCCTGAAAGCAACAATTGGAAGGTGAGAAGGAAGCAAAAAGTGGTGAGGGCAGAAAGTGGTGGTAAAAAGCAGCGGTAAATAACAGTGGGGAGGCAGGGGGGGGGACAGAAAATTATGTGGGCAGGCCTGAAAAGAGGGAGCAAAAAGTGGTGCTGGGTAGAAAAGGGCAAAAAGTAGCAGGGGAAGTGAATGGGATTTCCCTCTCCTGCAAATGTTTATTCAAAAAATGTTTATGCCATCTTTCTAGTCAAATCAGAGTCCACAAGGTGGCAAACATTAAAACATTTCAACAATTGACAAGTTGGTAAAATATGGTTTGGATCCTATTACTGTCAGGTGGATCTGTAACTGGTTGACAGATTGCACCCAAACAGTGCTCGTTAATGGATCCTCATCTTGTTGGAGAGGAGAGACAAGTGGAGTGCCTCAAGGATCTGTCCTGGGACCTGTTTTGTTCAACATCTTCATGATTTGGATGAAGGAATAGAGGAAATGCTTATTAAATTTTCAGATGATACTAAATTAGGAGGGGTAGCAAATATAGTAGAAGACAGTCAGGATACAGGATGATCTTGACAGCCTGCAAAACTGGGCTAAAACAAAATGAATTTCAATAGGGATAAATGTAAAGCTGCATTTAGGTAGGAAAAATCGCATGCATAATTATAGAATGGGGGAGACTTGTCTTGGCAGTAGTATCTGCAAAAAGGATCTAGAGGTCTTAGTAGACCATACACTGATCATGAGTCAGCAGCTTGATGCCGTAGTTAAAAAGACAAATGCGATTTTGGGCTGTATCAACAGAAGTCCAGATCACATGAAGTGATGGTATCGCTTTACTCTGCTCTGGTTAGACCTCACCTAGAGTATTATGTTTAGTTTTGGGCTCCACAGTTTAAGAAGAATATAGACAAATTGCAATGTGTCCAGAGGACAGCAACGAAGATGGTCAGAGGTCTGGGGACCAAGTCCTATGAGGACAGGTTGAAGGAACTGGGTATGTTTAGGCTGGAGAGGAGACGACTAAAGGTATATGATAACCATTTTCAAGTACTTGAAGGGTTCTCATATAGAGGATAGTGCAGAGTTGTTTTCTGTTGCCCCAAAAGATCGGACCAGAACCCCAACGGGTTGAAATTAAATCAAGAGTCTTCGGCTAAACATTAGGAAGAACTACCTGATAGTTAGAGCTGTTTTTTAGTGGTACAAACTTTTTCAAGGAGGTGGTTTGCTCTCCTTCTTTGGAGGTTTTTAAACAGAGATTAGATGGTCATCTGACAGCAATGCTGATTCTGTGAACTTAGGCAGATCATGAGAAGGGAAGGCAGGAAGGGTTGCATCAATGCTTAGTTTTCGTAGCCCTTTCTTACTCCCCCACAGAAATGCTGGTTGCTGCTTTGGGATCAGGAAGTAATTTTTCTCCAGGCCAGTTTAGCCAGGGATCCTGGAGGGGGTTTTTTTTGCCATCTTCTGGGCATGGAACAGGGGTGTGGGGAGGGTGAGGTATTTGTGAATTTCTTGCATTGTGCAGGGGGTTGGACTAGATGACCCTGGAGATCCCTTCCAGCTCTATGATTAAACAATGCTTAAAATGCAAATATGTAATGTGTCCAAATGAAATTTTTATAACTTTAATTATGAGACCTTTACAACATAGAATCACAATAAATTTTGAATAAAACCAGGTATTGTAATGAAGTTTGCTTTACTAATAGAACATATCCAAAAGTTTGTTTTTGCATATAGTAATCCAATTTCCACTTCAGCATGAGTCCCCTTTGTCGCTTGGAGGGCATCTACACTCTCCAGATTTGCTCAAGCATGCTTGCATCAACTGTTGGGATGGTATCAGTGATCTGTTGTCGCTTTTGGAGGCTGTACCTATTCAAAGTTGTAAAGGTTCCATGTGGACACCCTGTATATAGAATGCTTAAAACAGTTAAATAAAACATATAAACACACAAACAGGGAAGGGGGTGAAGAGTTCATGAGGGAACACAATAGTCTTCACCTGCTGGCAGAAGATAACGATAGAAGGAGACAGACGAATCTCCCTGGGAAAGGAGTTCCAAAGTTTCAGTGCCACAGCCAAAAGGGCCCTTTCTTGGGTTGCAGCTCTTCTAGCCTCAGATTGTGAGGGCACCCAATGAAAAGGGCCCCTGAAGATGATCAAAGTGGATGGGTGTCTTCATATGGGAGTAGTCAGCCCTTCAGGTATGCTGGCCCTAAGCCACATAGGGCTTTAAATATCACTAACCAGCGCCTTAAATTGGGCCTGGAAGCAAATGAGAAACCAGAGTAGATGGAACAAGACTGGAGTGATAGGTCAATACAATCCACTGCTGTCGATATCGTGGCCACAGAATTCTGTACCAGCTGTAGCTTTTGGACAGTCTTCAAGAGCAGCCCTATGTATGTACTTATCATAATTATTACTTCACATCCAATCTCTAAGCGGTGGAGTCTTGTGAGCAAAAATTCTACTTTGTGAGCTGCTGGCATTAAAGTTGTGAGCAAGCAATCTGGCTACTGCATAAATTAGTTTGTTCTGGCGCCTTCCTTCCTAGGCTAAGACAAAAATGCGTGAGTCGGAGGCTCACACTAACTCAACTTAGAGGGGACACTGCATCCAATATCTCCTTCACTGTTTTTGGTAGTATGATACTACCACCGGCATATTAAATGATGAAAATGTTTGAACTTCATTGGTCTGTCTAACATTCCACTGAATTAGGGGTTTTTTGTTGCAGCATCCTATATAGATTTTCTTTCTGATTTTGTCTTTCAGAATGCCGTGCAGTTGTCTGTCATGCTACCAAAACATTGAAAACTTAGGAAGATTTTTCTGAAGCTGTTCCCAAACGAGAACATCGGTATTCAAAAAACTGACAAGTACCCTGAAAGAATACAGCTAAAACCTGCAACATTTTCATTCTTGTCTGCTAATAAATTCCTCGTTTTGGAAGCAGAAATCTTGGAGAGGCTGAGAGTCTGTTGGTAATGAAAGCTGACAAACCACGGAATAGGAATTTGATACCAAATATTGAACCGTTACGCTCGATACACTTTGGTAAAGAAATCGAGATGCCAAGGACTACGTTTCTGGTTCATGTAGTCTCTCATCACTCAGTCAAAAGATGTCAAGGCAAAGGCAAGGTTAATAGGTGTGCTCTTCACTGGTCTAAACAGAGTGAATCTCAGAAAGCAGGTCTGCAGGTCAGTTGCAGTGCTGTCTGTTCTTTCGATATCATTTTTTAAAAAAATTAGTAAAGAAATTTTTTTAGTAGCGATTAATGTAGTTTTCTTCGATCATGTTTTATTTTCAAACACTTTATAGTCTTTTTTGGGGGGGTTTCATGTAAAAAAAAAAATCGCTTCCACACGTGCATTTTCATTGGGAATTTTTCAGAACACAAGGGCATAATTCTGCTTGCTCAGCGTGTGGGTACCAAGGTGTGGGGTGGTTCTGTGAAAAGCTCTACATGTTAGGCCACACTCGCTGTTGCTATGCTGGTGCCCCTCCCCACGCTTTCACAGGCATGTTCAGTCACAACCCAACTGCTCACTTGAATAGGAAGACCTTTCATGCCTCATGCTGATTCAGTGACTACCTTCTGACCGCCGCCCCCCTCCCAGTCCACAAGCTTTTCTCAACAGAAGTGGCCATGGGCTGGCATCCAGGTGGGAGGCAGTTGCCGATTGCTTTGCTGTGAGGTACCAAAGGGCCACCTGTTGAATGCTGGGATGAATGCTCCCACTGTCTGTACAGGATGTCATGGCAGTCAGCAGCCCACGTGGCACAGGGAGGAGGACCATTCTAGCCTCTAATACTAGAGGACCATTCTAGCCTTTAATGGTCATTTTTTGTCCTTATTTCCAAATGCAGGATTGTGCGGGGTTTCATCCCAAGCCTATGGTTGTCAGATTTTGCCCTCATGCCTTAGCCATCAAAGCAGTCTGCTAAGCGTAAGCCCTGTGGTTTCTCATAGTGGTTGCACAGATGCTGTGCTTAGAAATATTGTTCAGTAATAACAAAATTCAGTACCAAAACATTTGAGCCTCATTCTGGCATCCTCTGCTGAGAAATACTGAATGATGAGCTGCTACATCTCTGGAGACTGTTTTGGTTTCAGTCTGACTATTGAAGAACAGCTGGGATGATCATATCTAATATACACACGGATGTATTCATGCAATTTATTTCTATACTGTGTATGCTGAATGCCCACATTTGCCTTCAAGAAAAGAATGTGTTGCTGCTTGATATCAAATAAAACCAAATGTAACCTCCTCTTGCTCATCATCTTCATTTGAAGTGTGTGTGTCAGGAATTTCACATTACCCTTTTTAACCCGTTTTGAAGCCGTTTTTGATCCGCTGTGGAGTAAACCGGTACAGGGCTGCCATTTCACACATGGCTTTCCCCTTCCGGTAAAGAGCTGGATCTGAAGTGCTTTGCCATTTCAGACTGCACTGCTTTTTCCCCGCCGTTTTTCGCCCGTGCGGGCGATCTCCGACTTTTGGGGGGGGGGGACGTTCGCTTTAGAGCGCTATAGGGTTACACAACACTCCAGGCATTCCAATGGGGTTGATATAATGCTGTTTCGTTACAGCGCTATAGCGCTATAAAGCGAACGTTCCAAAAAAAAGAAGAAGCCGGAGATCGCCTGCACGGGCAAAAAATGGCAGGGGGAAAGCGCATCAGAACCGGGAGAGGAAACTGAAGACTACTTGGAAGCAGTTGACAGGTAAAACGCTTCAGCCCCATTTCCTAAACTGGACAGAAGCGTTTGTGTGTGAAATTACAAATATATTCCAGTAGGGAACCGGTTCTAAAATGGTTCTGTCTGAAATGACAGACCAGAAACCGCTTGGGAACCGTTCCTCTTCCGGATTATATCGTCTGTCTAAAATTCCTCTGTGTGTGTGTGTGAGAGAGAGAGAGAGAATCCTGCATGTTGTTTAGCTCGCTCTGATTAAGCAGAGAAGCTCCTTGGGATGTTAGTAAACTTTAAGCAAGCACAGCTTAAACTGTTAGATCGGATGTTAGATTGGGTGACTCATCGTTGTAACACAAGTTATAGGAAGTTATTTTAATTAAAAGTTCTTTCTGTGCCTGCTCCAAGGGACTGAGCACAAAGGCTGGAGTGGGCTAGTAAGAGCCTTTAGGAAGGGAAAGTGGCATTTCCTGCTTATGGCTTTCCTTTAGTTCAGGGATCCCCAGTGTGGTGCCTGTGGTGTCATGGTCCCCACCGACACTTTCACTGGTGCCTGTGAATGGGTTTTAGAAAATGGGCGGGGCCAGGTGGGGCTTTTGCTCAGCAAGGCCTCTTTTGACTGTTGGGGATTTGATTGGCTGTGCAGATTTTTTTAAAAAATTGGTTTGGCAGCGGCTGCCAGTACAGCACAAGGATCTTTACTGCGTGACCCAAGCGAAGTTGTGGCAGCCATTTTGTGGCTGGCTCCACCTCCTGCAGCAGCCATTTGGTGACAGCCATTTATGGCTGCACCGACCACACTGTGTTAGAATTCTAAAGGTGCCCACAGGCTCAAAAAAGTTTGGGACCACTGCTTTAGTTGTACTAGCTCTGCCAGCTCCTTTTGTTTCGGGATCCATCATGCATGTCCAGTTTGCAGGAACCATACAGTTTGCAGGAACCTTATAGTATGCAGTAGGGGAATGGGATGATGCATGCATCACTTGTCACCTGCCCAGTACTCTCATTTTGATGTAATGTTTACCTGCACTCATAGCCCTGAACCACTGAGTCTTTTATCATATTTTATATAAAATATTTATAATTTGTTTTCTTCCCTGTCAGTGAGACTCAAAGCAAATGGCATAATTAAAACCAGCTGATTTCTAATACAAATAACAAACAGAAAGCAAGCCATTTAACCCATCCCAGTAAATGACTTCCATGCAGAAGCCCCCAAAGCCATGCTGGAAAACTTCGGCCTTATAGGACTTCCAAAATCTCTGCAAGGTTGGGGCCTTCTTTCTGTCTTTAGGAATGGCCACCAAGAGATACCAAGCCTGAAGAGAAAACAGTTCTCACTGACCTGAGTAGAAGAACGGTTGTGAGTCTGTGGTCTGATGAGCATACCTTGTCAGACTCCTGCAGCAATCAGTTCGCAACAGCATTCATTCAAAGAAGTAAAGTTTATTGAGACATTGAGAGTATGCTGATATCTTGGCGCTTCCAGTGTTAGAACTGGCCTAAAGTGCGAAGCAAGGAGATATACGTTATTCAAGAGGGTCCTCTGATGGCTCAGGTCCAATCAGAGGCCAGGTAGAAACCTGCCAAAGTAACGGACAATTATTCTCAGGAGAAAAGTACACCAGACACTCAAGGTCGAACGCTTCGACTACATAGATAAAGTAAGACTGGGAATACAGCAGAAATTAAGGTTAAAATTCCAGAGTCCCCCCTCACACACCTGGCACCTAGAACAGCCAGAGGCCTAGCTGGCATACCTGTGGGTAGAGGCAGTCCTGCAGATTTGAGTTGTATCTTCAAGTGAATAACCAACTGTAGGGTCTGGACAAACATGCACCTGCAACTTTTAAATCAAATAGATGAATGAACACATGAAGCTCCCTTATACTGAACCATACCCTTAACATATCAAGGTCAGTACTGATTAGTCTGGCTGGCAGCAGATCTCTAGGGTCTTAGGCAACAGCCGGAGTCTTTTAACTCGGGATGGTGGGGACTGATCTTGCCATCTACTCAATGTAAAGCAGAGGCTGTAATACACAGCCATGGCCCCGTTGCACTAGAATAATTGCACTGTAATTTTACATACATTATATGTCCTGCATCTCAATAAAACATTCTCAAGGTGGCTTACAATATCACAGAATAAAGCCATTGCACATAAAATGAAGAAGCTAGCGATTTAAAACCAAAGAAGCAGAAATGAAACAAACAGCCCAGGAGCAAAGAACATGTAAATAAATCTGTAAATACAGGAAAGCCTGATCCCATCAGATCTCAGAAGCTAAGCAGGTCTGACCCTGGCAAATACTTGGAAGGGTGACCTCTAAGGAATACCACGGCTGGGACACAGGTGGGCAATATCAAGCCACCTCTCTGAAATGTCCAAACCCCACTAGGAGTCACCAGAAGTCAACCATGATTTCCAGGCACATACAGGCATGAAAATACTTGACAACAACAACAACAAAAATCCATAAATAGCCTGAAACAGCAGCATAAGAATATGTTGACCAAAACACAAGACCAAACGTGGGGGCAGGATTTAAAAAGGGGAGGCAAATCTGATGGGGAAACCTGGCCCCCAGAAGACATCAAAGTTGACAGCAGGAGAGCTTCTGAGAGGAGAGATTTTTTCAGAGTTTTGGAGTTGTGACAGAAAATTAACAATGGGTACTCAAAGGATGTGTTGCAACGTGCCCCCCCCCATTGCAAAGGCACCAATCAGCACAAGGCTTCAGTATCACACCATATTCCACACCCTGCCTTGCACAAGCACACCACAAGAAAAGCCCAAGGCATTTCCTCCAGCTCAGTGACTCTCATCACTCAAGAGTTTAGGTGAAGCTCATAAGCTCCAGGAGTTTAAATTACTGGCAGCCAGAACACAGACACTGGCAGAACAACCCTTCTACTAGGAAAAAGCTCAGATCACACTGGAAAGCAAGGCTTGCCATTCCAATCATTACAAGCTGCTTAGTTCTAAACAAGGGGGGGACCCGCGATACTCGCGGGGCGGGCAGTCTCTCTCTTTCCCCCCGTTCTCTCTCTTCCCCCCCAGTCTCTCTCTCTCTCTGTCTCTCTCTCCCCTGCCTTCTCTCTCTTCCCCCCCCCGTCTCTCAGTCGTTCCCCCCCCCCCGTTCCCCCTCCCCCCCGACTTTCTCTCTCTCTCTCTCTTTCTCTTTTCCCCCCGTGAACCGAGGCCCGCGCGGCTTACATCCGCCGGGCCTCGGCAGTCTCTCTTCCCCTCCCCGACTTTCTTCCCCCTCCTCACCTGTCTCTCGCCGCCGCCGTTGCTGGGTCTCTCCAGCCGTTCGGTTTCTTTCCCGCGCACGGAAGCCAGGTAGGTTGCAGAGCGTTCCGTGCGCATGCGCACGGAACGCTCTGGCACTTTCGGGGGGATTTAAACATCCCCCCGAAAGTTTTTTCAACATTTAGCATTTTTGTGCACACGTGGGGACTGGCCCACATGTGCACAAACCTCTCCCTCCCCCCCAAGTGCCCCCGATGTCCGGATCTAAGGATCCGCACAGAGGGGGCCAGTTCAGTATTAGATATATAGATCCCCAGAGGCTGAGCAGGAAACCTGTGTGTGGAAGCAGTCAGTGACTGCCCTTCACAGGCTAACATTTCATGCTGTGGAACCATTGGTACTATATAAATTATACCAACACAGTATTGCCTATACTCGTGTCCTATCCGATGGGCCCATTGTATATTCTCCCAGGGGCCCGACCTGGGCTGTGTCCCCTTTCCCACCCCAATGGCATGCATGGCCCTATCCCAGCTGTATGCTCTTTAGAGCCAACACACATTTCACTTTACAAATGAAACTTGGAACCAGTACCTGGATTAATGTAGGGTTTAAATCACATGTTCAGCTCTGCCTATATTGCATGTAACATGAGGATTTGCAAGTATGAAGAAAAATCCAAGTGTACCCTGTACATGGATTGCATGCATTCACTGTACCTTGTGAACAGGGCTATAGCCTGTTGCAGAAGGGGTCTCATCTGGAACTGAAGTTCTGAGGAACTTGGCTTGGCAGACCATTCCTGGCCATGGACACCTGAGAGAAAAGACCGGAAAGGGACACTTGGACATACTCATGATCAATGTCCCCTCTAAGCTGTGGAGTCTTGTGAGCAAGAATTGTACCTTGTGAGCTACTGGCATTAAAGTGGTGAGCCAGCAGTTTGGCTGCTGCATACATTAGTTTGCTCTGGAGCCCTCCTTCCTGAGCAGAGACAAAAATGTGTGAGCCGGAGGGTAGAAAATTGTGAGCTAGCTCACACTAACTCAGCTTAGAGGGAACACTTCTCATGATAACATACTTACAGTAGCCAAACAGAGCAGGGCATGTACCAGTGATCAGGCTCAAGGATCTATTTGCTTCCCTATGTTCACTTCCTGATGGTCAGTGGTTATTTTGCCAGTAGGATGCCCAAATGCCTGTGGGTTTGGATCACTTTGTAGTCTCCACCTGTGAATACGCCATTGATTTACCAATGATCAGACCAGCTGTTCACCAATCCATTTATTGATGTTTCACACATGCATGGTT